TGGAGCGAAAGCGAGGATTACCTCGTTAGGAGGAAATGGGCGATAATGGGGCAATAAACGCTGTGTCCGCGGTGTGATCCCGGCGGAGATTCCCAAAGCGCCGCTCCGGACCCGCCGCCCACTCGAGCTCGGACAGGACAGGGAAGCGCTCAGGGGCCGTGGCCGCGCTCCTCCACTTCGGAACCGGCCCCACTATTGCACGCAGAGTGCTGTTTCTGATCAACATCACAACTTTTCCAAAAGTAGCAAATGGTTGTTTTAGTGCTCATTTATTTAACACCGTACTGAAAAGAGTTAGGAGATCCAACAATGCCCAGTGAGGAAGAGGTCTGGCAGAGGTCTCAGTGAGTGACAGAGGTTCAAAAAGTCTCCAGTCCTGGACGCGATACTTCATTTTTTAAGTGACTGTTTTGCTGGTGGCTGTTCGAAGCGTACCTTATTTAAAAAATCTCTATAGAATCTAAAACTGAGTAGGTCTAGTCAGGAGAGCCGAGCGAGTCTGTAAATTACTGCTCTTGTCAGGATTCCTGTTGCCTATTACAAAGTACCTTTTTACGCTGAACTTAAACTCTACACTACAGAGACAGCAGATGTGAGGTGATGGCTTCCAAAAGCAACACAGATGCTGTAAAATTTCCATTGCTATATTTCAGCGAGGAAGCTCAGGAGACATGCTGAATGCTGCAGTTTAGAATTACACTGTAACTCTCCTAGAAATAAGAGAATACCAAGTTTCTCTACAGTACACTTGGCTTCGTTTTTACTGTCATTCATATGCTCTTGTTTTCTTAAAGCGAGAAAAGAGATGCAGCACAAAGATACTGTGTGTCTTGAAGCTGTTCAGTAATGACAGAATCGGTAATATGGAACTTTATGGCAATTTAGTAACGACTGCATATCCAAATTCCCTAGTAAGACCATGATAATTTTTAGAATTGTCTTTCAGGTATATAAAACAGCACAGCTGTGAGGAGGCTGCTTTGCTGTATGTGAGTGAAAAGCAGCCTGGATAGCTCAAGACTGTGGAATCACAGCCCATTGTGTGTTCCTCATACTCTGAGACTTCCCTGAAGTCCCTAGAAGTCCTACGATGAAGGAATCAAGGGTCAAGTCTTTAAAATGGTTTGTCTGTTTATTCCAGAAAATACAGCAGCTGCTGTATTTCTGAAAAGCTGAGCTTTGCTATAGCAATACAGAATACTTTAGAGCACTTTTTATTCCAAGGATTTCAAAACAGATGTCCAGTCATCAAATCATGCAGAAATATAAAGCTGGCAAGAGTGTTACAGATACTACAACTTTTTACAAACTTAGAGAATTGACATATTGTCACATCTAGTCACTTTGTGACTAGTCTTTGTCACTACAAGTCTTTGTTGCCACAGATATTCATGCCTCTTCTATCCAAACGTTTGGGTTT